AAATCAACCATTGATCCAACTTGCAAATCCTGCGGTGAAGCTCCTGAATCTCTTGAACATCTCATTTTCCATTGTAGCAGATCAGAAAAAGTGTGGAAAATGGCTGCAGTTACATGGGATGGCCTGGCACAGGAAACATACTCCTTCAAAAGCTGGTGGGTGAAAGTTTGCTGCATAAACCCCTCTCCTCTCTCCTCGCTAAGGATCCAATACACTGCATACCTTCTCTAGTGGATTTGGAAAGCCCGAAACCTGTGGGTATTCCAAAACTTTTGGGTCTCTGAATACAATATAACTCAATCTGCAGCTTCAGCTTGGAAGGAATTCTCAACCCCTGGTCCTTGATCTTGCTTGTCTGGGGTCTCCTTTTGGCATTTTTCTAGTTGTTTTTTTAGTCGTCTTGTTAGTTATTTTGCTAGTGGGGTAACTGATAGGGAATTCTCCAGTTTCAGTTATCTCCTTTTGCTTCTTGTAGTGTTTTAGCTACTCGTTGTATGTTTAGGTCTAATGTTGGAGTCGAGCTTAGTCTTGCCAACACGATGGCCTTCTCTTTGTTTTGTTTAGGGCTAGGTCGCTATTGTTAGCGCTCCTCTTATCCTGCCTTGGTGGCAGCTGTAATTATTTAGCTTCTCGTTCTATAATATTCTACCGTTTCGAAAAAAAAAAGAAAGTAAATATAGTTATTTTTTCATATTTGATAAATTTATATATAATGTAATATTTGTTAATCCAATAATACCTCCAATATTACTGGTCCAACCTTAATACCATATTTAGTTGGCTAGACCAGTATGACTATTGATATTGGTATTACAAACATCGCAACCTGATAGGGACTTCAATAATTTCAAATCCAATGATCCTTAAGAAAAAAAATATCATGATAATACATCCAGACTCCAATAATTTCTAATTCACTGTCAACCTACTCCAAAATTACACAAAGTAAAGCTTTCAAGCTTAGTACCAATAAGGGAAAAATAAATAAATAAATCAAGCATTAAACTTCAAGAACACACAAGTAACCACAACACACTTAAGCAAAGCCACAAGCAAAAATAATATAACGTGAAATTATTAATTAGTACATTAGATAAGGAAAAACTAACTAATTCATACCATCAAAAATTCTATGGAACTGTCAGATGGTTTTTTTTATAAAGTCATCGATCACTTAATATATTCACAATTTGACACATGTCCAAAGTGTATTTATTGTAAGACACGTGTTAATACATTATTTGTGAATACTTGTGGATGACTCCATAAGTCTAGTCATCCGATTGCTCCAAAGTAAAACGGTTCATTTCATACCAAACCATAGATTATATATAATGCAAGATACATGATTGGCCACTTTTAACTTTTAAATACCACAAGACAGTTTCGTGCCAACCATTTCAGGTCAATTTAATAATAATAATAAAAA